CGGCCCGGGGCAGCCCCTCGGCTCTCCTCAGGGGGGACCCTGCAGCCCCGCACGCACCGGCACGCGGTCGCACTGATACCGTGCCGCAGTGCATGGTCTTAACTAGCACCTGGCCATTAGAAGTCCTGTATCGCTGTTCGTTAAAAGGAGAGCTAAGTGAACTGTCCCACCACCTTTCCCCGGGACTGTAGCCTCTGCCTCCCTAAATCCCATCCTGGTGTTTCAAAGGGGTGTAGCGTATCCTAACTGAGGTCCTCAGACCTCGCTGCACCAGAGGTTACTGCAGTGTAACTGCAGAAGAAGCAGTCTGGCATCAGCAACACCCCCTGCACGTGGCATCTACTGGGTTGAAATGTGCTGCAGAAGTGCAAAATTTTATTATAAATCTTCTAATAAGTCATGAATTAACCTGATTGTTCTTTTGGTGAAGACGTTGTAAGGAAGAGGTTCTGAGGAACTGTAACGATCTGGTGGGAAGACCAGCAGTTGATTTCTCACCTCACGGGCATCGTCTGTTTGTAGCAGTAGCTGGTGAAAAAAGACTAAGTGGAAAGTGTACAGTGTTTGTAATTTTTTTTTTTTTAAGAAGAAGAAGGCAGCCTGCTTTTTGTATTTGTGACAGGACAGGTGGAATCCAGATAGTGTATTTATTTTGTAAGAAACACTTTTTAAGAAAAGCAAAAAAAAAAAATCATAAGCATCATTTAGTAAAATGCAGTGCTGAATTCTTCCAGTTTCTGGTCACTTAAGACAACAAAATACACAGTGTCATGTTTTTCATTCTCTTCATGGGATGTATGTCTGTTACAGTACTTATTTATGTACTTGTTGTATCACTTTGACCTGGTTTGATAAATTAATAAACTCTGAAGTTGATAATAAAACAAGATGTTTTGTGTATGATGCTGTTTGGTCAAGATGTTTGGTTTTGGTTCCATGTGCCCGGCTGGGTGCAGCGCGTGGTTGCCTGATGTGGAATCAGGTACTGAGCTATGGAAGAGTCTGATTCAAGACTTAAGACTTGCTGGGTGCAAAGGCTTCCGAACTCACCTGCATCCTTCACATTTGAGGTGTGATCTTAAACCACATGACTTCAGCAGTGCACCTAAGATGCCAGTTTATCAGAAACCTAAGAGATGATACCTGTAGGTTATGAGCAGTTCTGACTTACCGTCGCTTACAACCAGGCCCAAGAAGCTCTGTGAGGGCATTCATGGGAGTCCCAGTGAACTCAGCAGGACTGAGTGGCCCTCCACAGACAAGTTCGCTTCAATTAATTAACTGTTGCAGTATGCTGCAGCATTTAATCCATCGGGGTGGTAGTGTTGCTCCCGTTTAAAAGTCGGGTTCAGACCAAGGCTTTAAAAGTTTGCTGTAACTCAGCATCCACGGGGTCGACACTGAGCCCTGACTACGTCTGAAAACCAGACATGTAAAGCTTGCAGCAGGACACCCGTGTCCCCAGTGCTGCAGTACTTCATCCTTTCGGATCTTCTCCCAGGAATGTCCTCTGCAGAATTTTGCAAGCCAGCTTAACACTAGCATTCATCCGAGCTAAATTAAAAAGCTCTAGATATTATCACAACCTGGATAACGCAGATAGACAAATTAGAAGGATCAGCAGGATGCTCAAACTATCAGCTTATTTAAATTGTTTAATCTCAAGAGCCATGACTGCTTTCGGGACTAGTTACTAGGACAACAATAGTATGCTGGAGAAAGCATAGGACCTGCAATATATAGATTTTCTGGTCAGAGGTATGTTTGACCTTTGGGAAATACCCAATTTATTTCAGCTTTCACCTACTCAGCATGATTAATTTTGAAAATCAAAGCACTGACATCCATATCTGGAAACCAACTAAAGAAGAAATCAAGCACTGACAACTGAGAGAATAGTAAAGGACATACTGCTTTCACAGAATCATAGGATAGGTTGGAAAAGAACTTTAAGATCAAGTCCAACTGTTTACCCAGCATGGTCAAGTCCACCACTGAACCCTGTCCCTAAGGACAACATCTACCCGTCTTTTAAAAACCTCCAGGGATGGGGACTTGACCACTTCCCTGGGCAGCCCCTTCCAGTGCCTGACAGGCCTTTGGGTGAAGAAATTCTTCCTCATACCCAATCTAAACCTCCCCTGGTGCAAGTTGAGGCTGTTTCCTCTTGTCCTCTTTCTGGGCAATACATATTCTGAAGCTCCAAATAATTGGGGAAATATTGATGGAATCAGTCTGTGCTAATGACTAAAAAGAGATGGTCTTAAGAAACGTGAGAAAAAAGTGTAAAACATTAACTCACACATGGCTAGCAGTGTAACTAAAATGGAGAGTATCAGCCTTGTGAAAGATGACTGTTCAAAGTGGTTCCACAGTAAATCACTTTGAATCAGTTAGTACATCAAATCTGAAAATCAAGATGCCTCTGGAAATTCTTCATGAAATTAATTTCTGTTATTTCACCACAACCTGCATGTTCATCTTAGCCACCTTTTCATTTTAGCAAGACATCCGTTACAAGAATCCCTTCCATGAGGACGCACCCCAGGCACGCATACCTGCTCTGCTCTGATCTCCTCCGGTACCAGCCCCTTCTCCATGCCTGACTATCTGAGGGGTGATAGCCTTCCTTGTAGTTGCAGATTGAAAGCCACTAACAGTCAGGGCTGCACAGTTGCATCCCCACTGAATGTATTCTCTTGATTTCGTAACACTCAAACGCTTAGCAGCACACTGAATCTTCTTT